CAGGTTTGGAGCACTTCCGTTGTGGCGACTCTTTATGCAGCGTTTTTCTTTTGCAGGTGTTTTCTTGGTTTTCATCGTTTCGCGCTTTGTATCGTTTCTCTATTTGCAGCGCATTTGATGATGATGCATTTGTCTTTGTTTCTTGCAGCGCGTTTTTTTCATCTGCACCACGTATTTTGTTTGTACCTCGTTTAAACTTGTGTTTGACCCTGTGAATTTGCATCGTTTCTGTACTTGAAATTGTTTTCTCTAAATGAGACGCATTGAGCTGTTGCAGTGCGTTTGGCCCCCGTCGGCCACCGTACCAAATGTCTGTGAAAAGCCCTATAGAAATTAAAAAAAAAACTCACTTACTTAGTTCAGGGCTAAAATGATTTTGAAAATCAAAGAGTTATTTTTGGCCCTCGCCCACTAATAACGTTAGGGGCGAGGGGTATTGTTTTCGCTCGGTTTCTTACGCTCTATTATTATTATTATTATTATTTTTCCTTGCAAACGATCGCGATTTTGAGGGCCTAAACGTCGACGAAAAGTCCCCAAACCGGGTATCAGATCGATCGGCCCGGTGAAAAATTTGATAAAATGGGCATCGCGACAACGCCCAAAGCCCCCCCACTCAACAGCGCCCCCTTGAAAATGCACATTTTAAAATGAATGGGAGTCTGAGAGGCAAATTTTGTCGTACGGTCACGAAATTCGGAACAGTGATAGAACTCATGGAGACAAACCAAAAAGCCAATCATTGTGCACCCCTATGACGAACAGGAAGTCGGCCATATTGGATCAAACATCCGGCGCCGTTTTGACTTGGGGGTCTACAAAAAGATTCAAGTCCCCGGGGTTTTGTCCAAATGAGCTCAAATTTGACATGTCACATCTACAGACATACCTTCACTCAAATCTTCAATGTTTTTGGGATACTCCGTACGGTTCGCCCGTAGCACGCCGCCGAAAAACGCCTTCATTTCCTGTTTTTTCGGTGACCTGTCACGGCCACAGGCATTGTCCTAGAGAACTCAAATTCAAATCACAATTGTGTGATCCAGGTCTGAATGTAATGAAATATGAAATTTAATAAAAGTGAACTCTATAGCACCCCCTAGCATAGACGTGAAATGTCAACATTATCGGACTTGTAATTCGGAAATTAAATTCTATGCATTATTACAAGCAAAAAAGTCTATTACGGACATGGTGCATTTTTCACGCTTGGCCAGTAGGGGCGCAAAGACTCCCCAAAAAAATAGTAAAAAATGTATTACACAAACAGGTTTTGTCCGATCGTGCTGAAATTTGAATCAATAATGCCTGATCCCAGCCTGAATATAATACAATATAAAACATATGAAAAGTGAACTCTATAGCGCCCCCTAGCATTGACAACCCTCAACATTATCGGATTTGTACCAAATTCGGGGATTAAATTCTAGACATGATTACAAGCAAAAAAGTCTATTACGGACATGATGCATTTTCCACCACTCGCCAGCAGGGGTGCAAAGACTCCCCCAAAAAATAGTAAAAAAATGATTGCACCCACAGGCTTAGTCCGACCGTGCTGAAATTTGAATAAGAAATGCATGATCACGGCCTGAATATAATACACTATAAAACATATGAAAAGTGAACTCTATAGCACCCCCTACCATTGACACGAAACGTCAACATAATCAGATTAGCACCAAATTTGGGGATTAAATTCTACGCATGATTATAAGCAAAAAAGTCAATAATTGTGCACCTCTATGACGAACAGGAAGTCGGCCATATTGGATAAAAAATTCGGCGCCGTTTTGACTTGGGGGTCTACAAAAAGATTCAGGTTCCTGGGGTTTGGTCCAAATGAGCTCAGATTTCACATGTCACACCTACAGACATGAACTCACAGAAGTTGCCCATTTTTTTTCGGATACTCCTTACGGTTCGCCCGTAGCACGCCGGCGAATAACGCCTTCATTTCCTGTTTTTTCGGTGGCCTGTCACGGCCACAGGCATTGTCCGAGAGAACTCAAATTCAAATCACAATTGTGTGATCCAGGCCTGAATGTGATGAAATATGAAATTTAATAAAAGTGAACTCTATAGCGCCCCCTAGCATAGACGTGAAACGTCAACATTGTTGGATTTGTACCAAACTCGGGGATTAAATTCTATGTTTAGCGGGTGGTACCACGGGGTGTCGCTGCTGGGCCACAGCCAGGTAGAATTTAAGAGGAAGTTGGCTGTGTGCCCAGGAGGTGTCAGTTTCCGTGGGTGGCCCATGGATCTATTAAAATAACAGGTAGACAGCTGGACCCACATGTGCGTGCGTTTGGCGACGATACTGGTGGGTTTTTAAATGGTTTGTGTGTGTGTGAATGAAACTATTTTAAAAATGAATTGTTGTGTGTTAGGGTGGCCACGCTGTTTTTAAAAAGAAACCTGGGGCGGTGCTATGGGGAGCTGTGTGGGGAGTGCGACGCAGGTAGAAATATTTTAAATTGTTTTTAAATCATTAAAGTGTATCGAGTTTGTCAGTTTTTTGTAATTTTGGATTTTTTGTTTTTTACAGTTAACTACTGTCCCTGTTGTCCTTTGGTTGTTTGTGTTTTGTCCCGGTCACTTCCTTTTTCTCGAGTTTGTTAAATAAATCACATAAATTGCATCCCCGGCTCCGACTTTTATTACCACGGCTACAACATTTGGCGTTGTTGACAGGATCTCAGCCGTGCCGGATTACGGGGAAGTGACCGTTTTTGGAGGATTTTGTGTCGTCTGGGTGATTAGTTTAAGGACAGCAGGGGCAGTAGGTGCTGGTGACACCGGGGCTTTGGACACGTGAACACAGGCATGGATGCCGACGCCGAGAAGCAGGCTATGTCACGGCACATCAGAGAGCTGGAAAGCCAGCTGGCGGCGTTGCGAGCCGCTGGCACGGACCCGGAGGCGCCGTCTACTTCCAGTGGATCCACAGGCGGAGGAACTGCGTCTCAAACCCCGCAGGCTTCTGTCGTGTATGTGCAGCAGGACAGAAAACTGCCACGTTTCTCAGGGAAGCTGAATAGTAGTGACTCATGGACTCTGGATGAGTGGATCGAACAAATAAGTCATTTTGCACAATTAAGAGCTTGCACGGAAAAAGAGCGTGCGCAAATCGTGTTTGACCACCTGGAGGGCGCGGCGCGCACTGAGATAAAATTTCTACCGACAGAAGAGAGGGAATGTATGGCCTCAATCTTTAAGGTTTTGAAAGAGGTCTATGGATGTATGCACTCACATATTTCGTTACAGCGACGGTTTTATAACCGTAAACAACAAGAGGGTGAGTCCTTGATTGATTACTCACATTCACTGATGGACTTGATGGACTTGATTGTTAAAACTGATGCTCAAACTACCTCTACGGCTGCTTCTAAAGACTTGCGTGATCAATTTATTGACGGGATCAGAGATCAAGCCTTAAAAATAAGACTGAGAGACTTAGTTGATCTAAACCCTAACTGGACTATCCGTGAGGCCAGAGCTGAGGCCACTAAGTGGATGGCTCAGTATGGGGTGCTGTCTAAACCTAGAAGTAACGAATACAGCCTTGTCTCCAATGAAACTGTGGTGTCTTGTGAAGGTGTTACTGGGTCGTCTCAATATAGTGAACTGATGTCTCTTTTGAAAGCACAGCAAACTCAGCTGGATTTGGTTGTTAAAGCACTGGCACCTCAAAGTTTGCCTCCAGCCAGAGGGCGGTTCAGTAGGCCCCGACGAAGTGCTGACGGGAAGCCTATTTGTTTTAGGTGTGAGCAGAGCGGCCACATTGCACGTAATCGTCCAAACAATGTTCAGAATGAACCTAAAGACAGTAATCAAACACAGTTCCCACCGACGGGAAACTAGAGCCCGCCAGTGTGCAGAGCCACACATTGGTGGGGAGACAAATTGGCTCCAATATTAATGCTAATTCGGATTTTCCTAAACTTGTGGGGGAGTGTTTTGAGGCTGAGGTAGACTTTGCTGGGGTCAGTGTTCGTTGTCTATTAGACAGTGGGTCCATGGTCACCACGATTACAGAAAACTATTTCAATAACAACTTTTCTCATCTGTCTGACAAGGGTCTTAGGGATTGTGGTTGGCTGGGGCTAAAAGCTGCGAACGGTTTACAAATCCCATACCTCGGTTACATTGAACTAGACATGCATGTTTTGGGGGTGTCTCTTCCTCGCCGGGGTGTGTTGATTGTGAAAGACCCTTGTGATAGTTACATGCGACAGAAAAAAACAGCTGTACCTGGGGTGCTTGGTATGAATGTGTTTAACCCTCTGTATTCTGAACTACTGAGGAAATATGGCCCTGATCTGTGGGAGGCATCAATCATCCGGTCTGCACCACCTGGACTGAGGAGAGTCCTGAGGTATTGCCAGGTGATGGAGGCCATGGCCAGCTCCCCAGACCCTCATCCAGTTAGAGTGCAGGGTAAGAGGCCTTTACGTATTCCAGCTGGCAGTTTGAAGTATGTTCCTGTTACTTGCCCACAGGTGCCCTTACATCAGTCCATAGAGCTCATGGTGGAACCTCTTGGGCCTGAGCACACTGGTCTGCCTGAAGGGTTATTGATATCACCCTCTTTAGTCAAGGCAGAGCAGGGCCGGACCTTTGTGCCTGTCACTAATGTGGGTACGACAGATGTCTGGTTAACCCCACGTAGGGTGATTGCCACTGTTCAAAAGGCTGAAGTTATAATTGGGGAGCAGGCGCATATTCAGGTTTCTGTAGATTCACAAAGTGGTACAGCATTTATTGCTACTCAGGAGGTGACAGAGGCAAGTGAGATTAATTTACCCGAGTTTGAAAATCTAGTTTTGGGAGATACACTAAAAGCTAAGGCTCTTTTGGCAAAGTATAGCAGAGTTTTTGCACGAAATGATCTAGATGTGGGATGCACAGATCTTATTAAACATGAAATACCCTTGCTAGATGAGACTCCGGTGCGTCAGCCATATAGGCGGATTCCCCCCTCACAATATGAATTGGCCCGTAATCACATCCAACAGTTGCTGCAAAGTCAAATAATTAGGGAGAGCAGCAGTCCGTATTCCTCCCCAATAGTTCTGGTGCTTAAAAAGGATGGTTCATTGCGCATGTGCGTGGACTACAGGCTGTTAAATGCGAAGACCAGAAAAGATGCATTTCCTCTTCCAAGAATAGAGGAGTCGCTGGATGCTTTGGCTGGAGCTCAATGGTTCTCCACATTAGATTTGGCTAGCGGCTACAGCCAAGTGGAGATGGCTGAAAGGGACAAGGCAAAGACGGCGTTTTGTACCCCTTTTGGTCTGTTTGAATTTAATCGCATGCCGTTTGGTCTGTGCAATGCGCCAAGTACTTTTCAGCGGCTCATGGAGCGTATTTTTGGGGACTGTCGCCATCAGTCAGTACTTTTGTACTTAGATGATGTGATAGTTTTTTCCTCCACTGTACAGCAGCACCTTGAACGGTTAGAACAAGTCTTTTCCCGGTTAGACACGCAGGGGTTGAAGGTAAAGCTTTCTAAATGTAATTGTTATTTTTATTTTTATTTCACTCTTTTAAGTCACATTTTATTGAATAATAATGTATATGCAAACCAATGTATGCGTTATGAGCAAATGTGAGAGTGGATTTCCATTAGCTAGGCACCAATACTGAAAGTGGAAAATGGTTATCCACTTCTCAGTTTCTACGTCCACATGTGAGAGGGAAATCCTGAACCCAATGAACCCCAGGTGGCCATAAGAAAGGATATTAAAAATATCTACTGGCTTTAAAACAATATAAAAAGTAACAATGGATACCAGTTTTAGGAACGAATATTGCATTTACTTTATAATAACATATCTGATGTTTTACTTTTATTATTATAAGATCAACTAAAAAAGAGGAACAAGTCTGTATTAAAGCCATTCTAACTTGCATGGCTCAGTGGTAAGACCTAATAGTCAGAACAGTCAGAGCAGCAGTTTGGAGGCATGCCACATGTGCCAGTTTTAGACTTCATCTTGGTCCCCATTTGATGTTGGTTAAGCCTTGAATCTGTCTTTTGAGAGCCTGTCTATCCGACCAATCAGAGTCCAGGTAGCTGTCGTCATCAGCCTCCTCCAGTTTCTTGAGTTCCTCTTGTCTCCTGTGGTAATGCATCATCATCTGTTTGTGCTGTTCCTCAGTGATCAATGGCTCCCTCGCTGGTGCCCCCTGGCCTTTCTTCTGAATTTTTACAAAAATTTTTGTCTTCTCGTTCTTGCCTATGTAGTCCTGGAGCTTTTTCCCTCTCTGCATCTCTTTAGCAGCCCACCACAGCTGACAGTCCTCCTCAGGAACAACTTGAAGAGACGCCTGTGTTCCCGAAAGGTCTTCTCGGTCCTCCATCTCCATCCGGATGGGGTCATGTGGAGGCAGGCCCATGGGATAAACAATCATCACAGCTCCTCTCAGCTGGTCGAGAGCCTCTTTCACCATGTCCATAGTGACACACACATTAGCCTGGATTTGTTTCTTTGAAATTAGCGTTTTTGCTTCATCTACTGTTTTCATCAAAACCTCTTTCATTTTCTCATTTGGAGCTTGTCCATTCCTCTTTCCTATCTCATCCTGCCTCAGCACTGGACCGCCACTAGGAACACACTTCTCTTCCCATTCATCTATGAGTTTCAGCTCCACAATTTGATCCTCTGTTAGGCCCTGCATGTTTGGTGGTAAAGTGATGCCATGATCTGCCAGTTCTGCAATTTCTGCACATATTCTCTCCACCTTGAGCCTCCCATTGTAAATAGAAGTAACTTGGTGGATTATGGTCTCCAGAGGCGCGTCCACAGAAGTGTTGAACAAAAACTGGCTTTCGTCTCCTCTTTTCACATGCAACTGCACCATTTTGCCGTCTTCTGTTTCCCCTTCACCTCCTGGAAGCTGGAAAAATTTACAGAATCAAGAAGAACGGTGGGGTAAAACGCGAGGCTGACCATTCAAAGTTTGGGACGCGGTGTAACCATGGCAACAGAAGTGGCTGCTGTAGATACTTCCAGAAAACATCACATGCTAACTGCTATTGCTATGAACCACTTATATATGCTTAAATAACCAAAGCTACCTTTTAAACTATTTCTAAATAACATCACAGTAGCTAGCCATAGCTACTAATTTTTTGTTTCCTCGTACCACAGAGATCTCGCGTTCCCGTCAGGTTCAGCAACTGGTGTTACCTCAGTGTTTACAGCAACGTGTCCTCCGCGCTCTCCATGATGAACATGGGCACCAGGGGGTAGAACGCACTCTACAGCTGGTCCCCTCTAGGTACTATTGGCCAAATATGTACGGGGATGTAGAAAGGTGGTGTAAAAACTGTGAGAGGTGTGTGCTGTCCCTAACAAAGTTAGGGGCGAGGGGTATTGTTTTCGCTCGGTTTCTTTTTTTTTTTTATTCCTTTTCCCCACATTGAATCTCATTTTTGACCCCCTGAACATCGACGAAAAGTCCCCAAACCGGGGTCCAGATCGACCAGTCCGGCGAAAAATTCGATAAAACGGGCATCGCGACAATGACCAAAGCCCCCCCACTCAACAGCGCCCCCTTGAAATTTCAAAATTTTGAGATGAATGGGAGGCTGAGATGCATATTTTGTCGTACGGTCACGAAATTCGGAGCAGTGATAGAACTCAAGGAGACAAACATAAAAGCCAATCATAGTGCACCCCTATGACGAACAGGAAGTCGGCCATATTGGATCAAAGATTCGCCGCCGTTTTGACTTGGGTGTCTACAAAAAGATTCAACTCCCCGGGGTTTTGTCCAAATGAGCTCAAATTTGACATGTCACATCTACAGACATAGCTTCACTCAAATCTTCAATGTTTTTGGGATACTCCGTACGGTTCGCCCGTAGCACGCCGGCGAAAAACGCCTTCGTTTCCTGTTTTTTCGGTGACCTGTCACGGCCACATTGTCCTAGAGAACTCAAATTCAAATCACAATTGCGTGATCCAGACCTGAATGTAATGAAATATGAAATTTAATAAAAGTGAACAGGTCTGAATGTAATGAAATATGAAATTTAATAAAAGTGAACTCTATAGCGCCCCCTAGCATAAACGTGAAACGTCAACATTATCGGATTTGTACGAAATTCGGAAATTAAATTCTATGCATGATGACAAGCAAAAAAGTCTATTACGGACATGGTGATTACATGCCCATGTTTTATCGGATCGCGCTGAAATTTGAATCAATGATGTGTGAACTCAGCCTGAATATAATACACTATAAAAATATATGAAAAGTGAACTCTAAGCGCCCCCTAGCATTGACAAACATCAACATTATCGGATTTGTACCAAATTCGAGGATTAAATTCTAGACATGATTACAAGCAAAAAAGTCTATTACGGACATGATGCATTTTCCACCACTGGCCAGCAGGGGCGCAAAGACTCCCCCCAAAAATAGTAAAAAAATTATTACAGGGACATGCTTAGTCCGATCGTGCTGAAATTTGAATCACTAATGCGAGTTTTTGGCCTGAATATAATACACTATAAAACATATGAAAAGTGAACTCTATAGCGCCCCCTAGCATAGACATGAAACGTCAACATTATCGGATTTGGACCAAATTCGGGAATTAAATTCTATCCACGATTACGAGCAAAAAAGTCAATAATTGTGCACCCCTATGACGAACAGGAAGTCGGCCATATTGGATCTAAAATTCGGCGCCGTTTTGACTTGGGTGTCTACAAAAAGATTCAAGTCCCCGGGGTTTTGTCCAAATGAGCTCAGATTTGACATGTCACATCTACAGACATAAACTCACAAAATTCATCAATTTTTTTTGGGATACTCCTTACGGTTCGCCCGTAGCATGCCGGCGAATAACGCCTTCATTTCCTGTTTTTTCGGTGACCTGTCACGGCCACAGGCATTGTCCTAGAGAACTCAAATTCAAATCACAATTGTGTGATCCAGGCCTGAATGTGATGAAATATGAAATTTAATAAAAGTGAACTCTATAGCGCCCCCTAGCATAGACGTGAAACGTCAACATTATCGGATTTGTACCAAATTCGGAAATTAAATTCTATGCATGATTACAAGCAAAAAAGTCCATTATGGACATGATGCATTTTCCACCACTGGCCAGCAGGGGCGCAAAGACTCCCCCTAAAAATAGTTAAAAAATGATTCCACCCACAGGCTTAGTCCGATTGTGCTGAAATTTGAATCACTAATGCGTCATTGTCGACCTGGGCGAATGTCGGGAAGAGAGGGTGGCGTGCCGGGGCGGTCGCGAGTCCCCGGAGGTCGCGTGGGGGGGGCGGTGCGCGCCGGGGCGAGGGCCACCATCGCCGCTCATTGTGCTCATCTTTTTTGGCAATTTGCTTTCGAAGACCACAGTTCTTTAGTTTAAGGTCATGGTTTAAGGTCAAGGGTATATTTCCTCTGTTATTTCTGTCCATTTTTGTTTTATAATTGAGTACATGCCCATGTTTTATCGGATCGCACAAAACTTTGGCCGATTCCACTCAAATTTGAATCGTTGATTGACACTCCGACCCTGAACACATTTATATAAGAAAATCTCAGATGGGCGCAATAGCGTCCCCTAGGGAAATTGCATGGTAGTGCAAACATTTACTTTGTTGTACACATATAAAATTTGGTACACAGATTCATGACATGGTCTTGATCAAAAAAGTCAATGACGACCCCATGCCATTTCCCATCGTGTTGCCATGGCGACAGGCCAAACATCTGCCCTTGCCAATAGGCCCGACAAAAACTTTGGCGTAGCCAAACCAAATTTGGTACACAGATGCATCATGGGAATAGGAACAAAAAAGTATATTACGCGGTTACTAGGCAACCAACAGGAAGTCGGCCATATTGGATTGATCGTGCGACCTGTCCTCGTACTTGAACGAACTCGTCCTTGGGCGTTTGACCCAGACAGAATCATTCTGTATCATCTAGACAAGTGGGACATTAAAAGTTGTTAAAAGCTTTTTAAAAGGTCACACGGTGTTGCCGTGGCAACGGTGCAAATTTCAGGTTTGTTTTTGGGGCTCACCATCAAACTTCAACGAGTCATAATTTGCACAAACTTTGGCCGATTTCACTCAAATTTTAATCGTGAGTTCACACCTCAACTCTGAACAGACTGATGTAAGAAAATACAAAAATGGGTGCAATAGCGCCCCCTGGAAAATTAGTATGTAAAAATAAGGTTTGATTTGTCACAGATATACAAAATTTGGTATCCACATTTGCGACATGGTCTCGATTAAAAAACTCAATGATGCTCACATCCCATTTACATTGTATTGCCATGGCAACAAGCCAAAATTATATCCTTGCCAATGGGACGTCCTTACACAAACGTTGGCGTAGCCAAACCAAATTTGGTATCCACATGCATCATGGCAATAAGAACAAAAATGTATATTGTGACCACGCCCCTTTACAAACCGGAAGTCCGCCATCTTGGATTTTTTTTTTTTTTGGCCAAATTTTGAAAATTGCAGAAAATTAAATTTAAGATTTTTAGGTTTAGGGTTGGGGCTATGGTTAGGATTATGATTAGGGTAAGGTTTAAGTTTAGGATTATTAGGGTCAGTGTGAGGCGCGGCGTTTGCGGGGCGCGGCGTGAGCACACGCGAGGGCCGATCATCGCCGCTTGCGGCTATATTTCAGTTTTTTTCTGTGTTAATTAGATTTAAAATATTAGTTTTAAAATCTAGATTCAGTTCACTGCACAATTTTTCAAGGAGTATTACCATTTAAGAAAATACTGAAATATATTCTTATAACAGACTGTATGAATTTTGCTTGTAAACTACTGGTGTATCAAGTTTCATATATAATAAAATATAGATATAAGATATTCTGATATTCTGTTGATTGCAAAGGACATAGTTAATTAAATATAGCAGAGTCTACCATCTGCGAGTATTCAAATTATGCTTTAGTCTGAATTACAATTACGTTGAATTATGTTGGCCTGTGTAATTATATAAAGATGGAATTTTAGACAAATTAGTAAAAAACAAATCTTGACATTTATGAAAACAAATCCATCCAGTAAGGAGTTAAGTGATGGCAGAGAAGATAGTGACCCATGGCTCACATCACTTTTATTGGGCCCGACCTCAGCTGCTTTCTTTTGGTACACTGTTGCCATGGAAACAATAACAAACAGCCCAGCCATATTCTGTAGCTCCACTGCACAGCCAGCCCACTGCAAAAGACCACGAGTGTGCAGCTTCTCCAGGCAAGAGACAGTGTGTTAACTAAAAATCACCACTTTCAAACAGGCTTCTCTTAAGATCTTTTCTTGTGCTCCTACAGCTCAGAGATGTCTGCTGCAGTAGGACCAAAGGAGGCAAGGACAGATACAAACGCAGGAGTGAAGAAGTCAGGGAAAACCAGCAAACCCTATGACTCCTATCTGCTACGGTCAGTCAGTCATGCTGTGTAAATTACAAAATCTAGCTAGCCAACATTACTGAGAAAAGCAAGTTGTATCTTCAACTTGTTATGATTTGCGTATCAGGTTCACAGCTAGTTTTTGCATGCTGTTATTTTTGTACAAAAGCTGCAATCAAATTGTGCTTTCAGAACAAAAATGTGCTCTTACTATCCATGCTGAATCTAAATAATCTTACAATAAAAGGTTTTCTCTATCTCAGACTTTTCTTTGCAAATTTCCAATCAAATGTAACATATAGCAACTATGCAGAGATTTGTTCAGAACATAAAACCTGAGATAATATTTCATTGTTGTGAGATTCAGCAGTTTTCAGAATTAAACAAATGTTGTGTTACCTGCATAATTATATACAGTAGTGTGGTGTATGCCTATGTTTTTCAATACAAAAATGCTAACCATCAAATGCTTGCTTCACCTCAGACAGAAAATTAACGATATGTGCTCCTTGAAGTAAATCTCCAGGACATGACACAACAGGTTTAAGGTCTGTAATTGTCAGAGCAGCCCAAATTAAACAAACAGTATCTAAATCAACTGACTCCTGAGTCATCCTTGTGTGCACAGACACACACAGCTGCAAGCCTCTTAACCCAAGACCATAAGTCCCTCTGGCCCAGTGATCAAATGTATCAGTGTCATTTTG